TCCTCAATAGTGAAGATGGCGACTCTATGAATACAACGAAGTTGAGCCATTTGGTAAGGGACGACATGCTATAGTTATTGTTACGCTTTTATTTCCAAATAATAACTGTAGTCTCCATTCCAATCAATAATCCGCTTGTGCATTTACTCCGAGAACCCGTTTGAACCTTAGGAACTTGTGTATTATCTACTTTTTTATAATTTGTGTGGGGGGAATAGTTACACGGAAGTTGCATTTGAATAGCCATTCACAAAGTTGCTGTCCGATATGGTCTCCCATTTCAAAATTTTACATTTATTTTTGTGAGGGTTAAAGGGAAATATTCCCGATAAGCTTATAGTCCTTCCGTATGACTAGCTTGCTGTTACAAGCTACTTGAAGGGGGCAGTGATATGTCAGTCAGTCAGTTCATTGAGGGAAAGATAGGCGAACGCCTTTGAACTCCCTGTCAAAAGAAATAATAAATTCGCCCTGTGATAGGTTACTATTAGTCATTCCCATTGGTTTTAGCTTAAATAGATGACAATTCATAAAAAGTTAACCATATATCTACATAGGTCAGTAAAAGAGAAAACTGTTTGAGCACTGGAACAGTTTGTTTTTCTGGGCTTTCGAGCTCGTACATCAGTTAGTGGTGCAGGTTAATCGATTATCAGTATTGCAAGTCTGGAGATGACTGGAGGCGCCAAATCGAAACATCGATTAATTGAGTTCCCAGCCATGGACCACCCTTCACTCAGAAGAAGCAGGTGCGATCGCCAGGACAAAACTTTATTTGCTTGACGTTTCGGATCCCGTCGCGGCTCCATCATCAAAGACAGTAGTATAAACGGGTAATTAATACGCAGGGAGTTGCGGTATCTGTAGACTACAGTTGCTATGTTACTGCATACCTGTCAGTTAACGGCTCTCCCTATTGCGAATAGTTGCCCGCTTGTGCGCTAATTGCTGGATTGCCGGCCTGCTGGTAATGACCGTCTGAACTTTCATCAACCGTGCTGGATTTTGACGTGATGATGGGTCGGTCATCTGGGTCACCGACATTAGTGTTAGAAGACGCGTTCGCTTGTGCGCTCCCTGAGTGGCGAATCGCTTTAGCCAAAATAAACCTCAGCACCCAATATGGGTGAGAGAGATCATAGCACTTGTTTATAGACTGGCACCCGTGAGTCATGACTCAAGCAACTCGTGGCTCAGGCGATTGTCACCTATTTTCGATCTCATCGAACTTGAATGTGTAGCTGGATCTCGTCGAATGTGCCGCAACTTGAGAATTGGCATCATTCCTCCTAAGTGCTG